TGCACCATGCGTAAGCCTTATGCCACAATAGCTGTATACTTTATTAATACTTGATATCACAAAAAGTTGCTCAAATGTACAACAAATAATTACAATGTCAAAACTGTTGGGATAAAAAAAGAGAGTTGCCTTGATACCCCTTAATAGTTTCCTGCATTACACTGTTGGTTTGGAGAAATAAAAGGTGATTGTATATTGATGAGGTAGCAATAAACTTCAAAAGATCCATGTTATTTTGGACCATCTCACAGCGCGGGGTCTATCTCCAAGAACTCTGCTATCACATGCTGATCATTTTGAAACTTAGTGTGCACATAAAGACACTCATTATCAATTCAAAGATAAAGTTTTCAGTCAGTATGACAAGGATGTTATGGTCATATGAAGTTAATAACCTCAAATGTGTCAGTTTGTGTTGGCATTGTTGTAGAAATGACTGCAAGATGTTATGTGAAAATGATGCACTGCAACAGTATTTGAGAAAATATTAAGAGGGGTAAATTACACCTCCCAGCTTTTTTAGGGTTAAAGCTCCACTGATGTACTACCCAGCCTTGTGGATTTTACTTACGTGCTAAGAATCCATGGTTTCTTGCTACATGCCATTGCTGTCAGTAAAGCTGACTTGACTGACGTACTTGTGTTAGGGTTCTGGTAGCGTTCAAAAGCAAAGTACCACTCATTCTGATCTCCTTCTGCGATGGCTGTACAGAATGCTGTGGCTTGCATGTCTGGATGGATACCAGGGATGCTGTAAGTACATATGTACATGTAGATGTATTAATTTAGAATTGGGATATTCACCTTTTTTGAAGGAATTTCAAATTCTCTGCAACAGTTTTCTAGACAGAGAAATGCTTTTCGCAAAAAACTGAAAAATTGGGGCGGGGTAGGTGGAAAAGGAAAACACAATCTAACTTACAGGTTTTGGCCAATGTTGTTCATCCACTGTGCATACAGGTTGACTGATGTTTGTACACAATCCTCATTTCCATAACGACACGCCATATTTATGGCACGTCCACGGCTTAAGCTAGGAAGAAGGGGAAAAAACAACCTTTCTTGTGCTAATTACTGATTAAAACATTAAATATTAGGAAACATGCTTTTTCAAACTCTGTATAGAAAGTTTGATTGCCCAGAGCTGGACTGATCTACAATGAGAATTTTATCATGGTCATTTGAGAATCCTCACCCTCAAGAAGTTAAGAATTAAAAGAAATTATCTAGTAACAATTTCCTTTTTATCACCAAGGAGCTGCTATGAGCAAATGTTAATGTATCAAACTTTCTCCCTACAAAAACTGATTATATCAATGATACACTGCCAGTTTTAACACCTATGTACCAACCTTTTCAGATGGTCCCCTTCATTTTTCCATCCTGTATACTCGTACATTGGCGTTATCTGTTCTCTCATGTATTTCTATAGTGAGGAGACAAACAAGAAATGTAGACAACCCAAAATTGTAAACATTTCCGAAAATTCTAAAAAATCCCATTATCCCACGAGGTTTAATTTTTAAATCTTTGCTGCATTACATGTATTGACATCACGGAAACCATTTCCACAGTTCATTTGTCTCAGTGGCACCATTTGAGTTTAATGGACAAGAGTCAAATGGACTAACATTACCTGGAAGTTTCCAAAAGCACCTTTCCTCCGGATGTTCCGTTCGATATAGCCAAGGGCACTGTCCACAGCATACCATGGGACATAGTCCCTCTCTTCTTTCAAGTAACTGGTTATGTCCAGAGCAGTGCGGTGACTGATCTCTCTAGCCATGGCTAAGCTAAATACATCACTAATGAGAGCAGCTCGGCTAGCAGTTGGAATCGCCTTGAGAAAGTGGATAACAAACAGATATGGACAACCATAAAGACTAGGATAACATCAAACCATGTAGGCTTGAATAGAAATCAGAATGTAACAGATATTAAGGGCAGACAATTCATCAAGAACCAAAGCATCGGTCTTCAATGCATCCATCATTTACACACTCTGAATAATTAACGGAGCTATCCCGCTGAACAACAAAATAAAGAGGTCATGGAAGTTTAATGCTGGAAAAATCTACAAACTTTGTCTACATCAGCATCTCCATGAATTGCTTATGTTTACCGTATGTACACTTTCCAACTGCATCTTAATCAACTGCCAGTTCTTATCATCATAGTTGACACGATACATTCCTCTCTGGTTGATGTTCACCAACAACCAGTCATCATCACTGCCACCTGAAAGCTGCAAGGTACCTGTCACGATCAAAAACAAATTGAAAATTTGAGACATCAAAGGACACATTTTATAGCCACAGACATTACCTCAGAGATCATTACCTCTCCAACAAATTCTTGAAACTATCCTAATAGTTCTCAGCCAGTTCAGTCATTCGTGTGACAGAAAAATCCTTCAATCCTTTTACATCAATACATGTACTTACCAAACTCATCTTGTGGTTTCAGCCACATGCTTCTTGGTGAATCAAAGTCTGGGCTGCTTGCAGTGGTGTATGTCACTGGTACATACCACTTGTAACTGTACATGAAATAATATCAGGAGGTCAGGTACATGTACATATCACAGATTTAACCCTATCTGCCATCTAAACTGAACAGGGAGACAATACTTTCAATTGAAGTTAGATATTAAAACTAACAACTGTATCACAAACTACAATTAAGAGGTTTTGGACATAAATATCAAATTTTTGCGCATATCAAAGTGGCTTTATTCTGCAACTATGGCAATCACCTGGCATACATGTATATGCCACTTGTATACAGTAATAAAGTAATTATGTAAGCCATTATTTGCAATAACACAAAAATTACACAAATAACTAACCCCAAATCTGGGTGGTCTGTTGATGGGTCTGAATCGGGATCCGACAGGAAACGTTGCTGCTCTACTCTAGCTGTGATTTGGCGGGCACCATTGTATGTTCTCTCAACTTTGATGAACGGAAATCCCATCTGGAGTGTCCAGGTGTCCATAATGGTTGCTAAGTTGAGCCCTCCAAGATCTATGTTGTCTTTTTGTATGGCCTGCAACAATTTCAAAATCAAGGAGATTATTTAATTAGTGTATTGAAAACTCTGGTAGAAAACTTTTTCCAGTTTTGTAGAAAGGCATCACGTATCAAAATCAACCTACACATTCTGTAAAAAAATAAAAGACTACTATTCAATCCCGTGGAAGGCCTGGAGTATCTGTAGATCAAAACTTTTGAGATGTGCATACCTTGTCAAGATGGAACCACAGGTCACTATTTTCAGCACTGCCATACTGGAGGGCTTCAACATAGTACTGTAGAAAACATTAAGGCATCAATATCATCTTTACTTTCCCGAACATGATAACAGATCTGACTCTAACAATTTCTAGTGTTTGAGGAATCAATGACAAGTTTAAAGTTTGTAATGTTGTCCAAGGGCAGGGTTTGCAGACATATTACTTTTTAAAAGTTTGTGATGAGCACTAAAACTTGTCAATGATGTATCACTAAAGCAATTTTAAAAAGGGAAGCAGTTTCTGAATTTAAAGGAAACCAAAGCAAGAGTACATCAGTAGCATGTTGAATCTTGGCATTTTCCATTGATACTGGTACCTTAAGTCCTTTGGTGAAAGTTGACTCTCCAAGGAAATGATTCATCATACGCAGAACGGAGGAACCCTGGAAAAATATAGTGTTCAATCTTTAGAGAAAATTCAAGAAAATAAGATTAATTGTTAAGCAAAGCAACTGAACCAGACTGAAGATTGATGTCCTCAATATTATATCATTAATATGTGTGTAGATGCAGATCTATGCATGCATTCATAAACAAGTAATAACAGTTTAATAAAGGTAAATGGTATGACTATTGAATAATAACAGTGCTTCATGGTTCATACGATGCAATCCAATATTAATGAAGGTAACTTCACCTGTGGTTCTAAACATATAAAGCATGGAATGGATACATTACGTGCACACATTGGTTCATGCATGTGACACATGACCAGTGGACGACTGTAAATTGTAAAATTGACTGATTTCACCTGAAAAAACATAAATATCTAAATGTAAATGTAGGCTCTTGCAGGGGAACCCAGCCTGCTAACAGCAAGTTTGTAGTTTTGTCATAGGGATATACATACAGTATGTACAAATAGACAGAGACTGTAGGAAGTCAATTTGTCACCTCATTGCACAACATGAGGAGTTCGGAATATATACCTTCTGATATGAGATCCTGTCAAACATGCTGTTGATCTCCGAGGGAGTTAAGACCTCAGTGATTATTGGTCTAGAAGTTACCAATGCATCCGTTGCCATGGCACGATGGAGGTCATACAAAATAAATTTGTCCCACTACAACCAACAATATGAATATAAGATGACTTGGATTATTACCAGTAAGATTGCTTACAGTTGGGCGATTTGCTCATTTAATACTGGTTAGAGAGTAATGTTACTAAAAATACTTCAAATGATTACGTGAAAGTGTAAACTTTTGATTTACAGTGTACAAGAATTAAAGGACCATTGTCGAGCCCAGCATTTTAGATGATAAACATTACTAACTGAAGGAGGTACATGTAATTGTGGACGCCATGTTCACGCTTTCTAAAAAGAAAAAGAAACAATTTTATTACCATTCTCCAATCTGGTTCAACCGCCACAGTTCCAACATACTCGACATAACTTGCAAAGCCTTCATTCAACCACAGATGGTCCCACCATTTCATTGTCACCAAGTTTCCAAACCACTGGAACAATGACAACAAATTAACACAATTTTTTTACAGCCATGTTATGCATTCAAATTTATTTTTTAAAAAGTATAGGCCATTTACCGGCAATACATGTCAATGTGAACTCAGTAAATCCTTGTTATTATAGGTATACTATTTCAGATAGGCCTACCACGACATGTGTTAGACATGATCAGTCAGTCACGTGAGAAAACAAAAGCATGTTGTGCCATCCATCAATTCCCAAGGATATCTACAACTTTACTTTCTTTTCTTCAAACAATATTCCGGGTTCCCTCATCAGAATACAAACACCTGAAGGTGGGACTGTCAACAGGCCTTTCAACAAGATGGAGCAACTATACAGAGATGGCACTATCATGCCTAGCATACAAACGCTGAAAGCCAAGAAAACTGTGACTCCATCTATTAAAATATTTTCAAGTAAAAAAAGTTTTACCGTAGAATAGTCATGTACCTGATGAGCCAACTCGTGAGCAATAATCGTACAAACTCGTTGCTTTTGACTTTCTGATGACACTCCATCCTTGTACAAGAGGGCACTTTCACGATAGGTAATCAGGCCCCAGTTCTCCATAGCACCAGCTGTAAAGTCTGGCAAGGCGATCATGTCTAGGAGAAAAACAAATTGCTAGGCTAGGCTAGGCTAACAGTAAAATAAATTGTCTTCTCTTCCAAGCATGTCTTCTTTATCAGCCATGTCGGCATAAAATTAAGCTCAGTAAAAGGCCAAGCTACAGTTAGGCCCTATCTGGTTATGACTGATGACAACCATTATGGCCATGACAGACTATAGTTTACCGCCCGGAGACTCACCTTGCTGTATCCTTGGCCAGACAGTCTAATTCTAACGTTAAAATATACCTGGGTCTGAGCAAAAAATGAGCACATCTTACTTGCTGGCATGGCATGTCAGGCTCTGCACAAGCGCACGGGTCACGACTGCACTCCCATAGGCCCATGCATGTTGACTGTAACAGATCCTTGTCATGCCTACCCTGCATCTTTCGAGCGATCTTAACTCAAAAATTCTAAGATTCAAAACATAAACCATGGATGACCGTTGATGACAGTGTTAAACTTAAAGCAATTTTCCCCCACGCCACAAGCACACTTCGAAATTCGTCACGCATACCCATCGCATGTTGTACTCCGCACGACGGGGCGCCCTCATTAGTTGACGACCTTAAAATTCAAAATCTAACCGGGGCGCTT